TCAATGCTGCGGAGTAGCATGGGTCCTCTAGTTATATGTAAATCAATATTGCAATGTGCCTGTATTAAGTGTTTTGTGTTGTGTCAGTTGGACAACCTGTCAGACATTTTGAGTTTAAACTGTGACATTTTATTTACAACTTTTGTTTTTGTAGCTGCCATCTAGGCCTACTTCTGAAGAAGCTGCTGAAAGAGGTGAAATATCAATTATTTTGTGTGGGTATATATATTTTATGTGTTCTATGACTCGTCTGCAACCTTTCATCAGGTGAGTTAGCTGTGTCCTCTCCATCATATATATTTATTTCCTAAAAACATAACTGTATAGTTAAAATCACTCAAGCGTAAAGAGAAAAAAAAAGTGTTTTAAATAGTCTATTTCTGAAGAAATATATGAACGGGTAGGAAGTGTTACTTGATTGACAATTTTACTTGGGTACTGTTAACTAGCTTGAAAATGGTCGGCAATTTTCACTATTATTATAGTTTTTTTAATTTTTTATTTAACTCTAGATTAAAAATATCAAAGCTGTTACACAAATAAGCAATATTTCATGGCAAAACTGAAAAATGGATATTTATATAAACATATCAGGTACGAATAAGTGCACACTAAACAATGACACTTTGGAATGTGAGGTGTAGCTCGAGTCCGCTCGTACAGTGCTGCACAAACTGGTATCTATTATATTTTTACATAGTTTTATACATATAGCACTGGAGCAGCAAGATGAGTGGAATGTTGGTCAACAGAGCTACACACATGGAATGCTGAAGACAGTCTTATCATAAACATTAGCAGGCAATATACAAAACATACAATCAACAATTAAATACGTAACAAATCAATTATATTATGTAGCATTTCTAAAAGTGTTTATGAACGAGTTAAAATTAAATAGGCTATTTTTAAAACATTGGCCAAAAAAGGATCATATGGGTACATAACAAAAAAATAAGTAAATACCCCCGCCGCAGCAAACCTGCCGACTAAGCGAATTTCCATTCGTCTGAATTAATTTTCAATTAAATATATTTAAATAACATAAGGTTTAACGAGTACCTAGGTTTGCTGCTACAAGGAAACTAATAAAGTGCGTTTTTAGTAAAGTATTGATAGCTTAGTATAAAATAAATCAAAATACAGCCATAAACAAGCAAACTTCAACATTTGAAAACAGGGTGTCTACCAGATTTCTCAAATGGAATTCCCGACTTTTTCCCGACTTTTCATTACCATTTTTATATAAATCCCGACCAAAAACTCGGTCCATTCTCCATGTTACTACACATTTTTCCGTCTCGCGGTCACGGTACCTTCGTCAACATATGTTGTCACTTACGACCCAGCGAAATCACTGACGATCGAAACGTATCACATGCCAAGAAAATCCCGTATTAAATGTAGGGGTGTGTGAAGCAGCAAAACATTTCAACTCAAAGCAACGATTCGATTTAAAAAAAAATGTTGATGTAACTGGATTCGAAGCAACATGGAATTTTTCTATTCATACTTCTCAGTGGAGTGAAATATCTGTTTTCAATCATACATTAGAAGAACCAGTATTTCTGGAAATATCAGTGAGCTTCTTGCCTATTTCATAATTTTTACTTGCAGCATCATGTTGTTAAGTATGTTACGGTACCTATTTTATTTTATTCATTTTATAAATAAAAATATGTTTGGGTGTAAACAAATAAAAACCTTTGTAAGATTTAAATACTGAATCTTTCAATTGGTTTACATTGATAAAATAAGAGGATAGAATCAAAACTACAAGGTATACATAACTTCTTGTATGGCGAAGCAATGTCTCAGTGTATGCCATGTACTTGGATGGCAATAACCTGTATGGCTAAGCAGTCTCAGTGTATGCCATGTACTTGGATGGCAATAACCTGTATGGCTAAGCAATGTCTCAGTGTATGCCATGTACTTGGATGGCAATAACCTGTATGGCTAAGCAATGTCTCAGTGTATACCATGTACTTGGATGGTAATAACTTGTATGGCTAAGCAATGTCTCAGTGTATGCCATGTACTTGGATGGTAATAACTTGTATGGCTAAGCAATGTCTCAGTGTATGCCATGTACTTGGATGGCAATAACCTGTATGGCTAAGCAGTCTCAGTGTATGCCATGTACTTGGATGGCAATAACCTGTATGGCTAAGCAATGTCTCAGTGTATGCCATGTACTTGGATGGCAATAACCTGTATGGCTAAGCAATGTCTCAGTGTATACCATGTACTTGGATGGTAATAACTTGTATGGCTAAGCAATGTCTCAGTGTATGCCATGTACTTGGATGGTAATAACTTGTATGGCTAAGCAATGTCTCAGTGTATGCCATGTACTTGGATGGTAATAACTTGTATGGCTAAGCAATGTCTCAGTGTATGCCATGTACTTGGATGGTAATAACTTGTATGGCTAAGCAATGTCTCAGTGTATGCCATGTACTTGGATGGTAATAGCTTGTATGGCTAAGCAATGTCTCAGTGTATGCCATGTACTTGGATGGCAATAACCTGTATGGCTAAGCAATGTCTCAGTGTATACCATGTACTTGGATGGTAATAACTTGTATGGCTAAGCAATGTCTCAGTGTATGCCATGTACTTGCATGGCAATAACCTGTATGGCTAAGCAATGTCTCAGTGTATGCCATGTACTTGGATGGTAATAACTTGTATGGCTAAGCAATGTCTCATCTCAATGAATAGCTTATATAACTAATGTCAATCATTTCAATAATGTCAATAAGTTATATATGGATACTGATAGTCAAAGTAACAGTATCAATGTAACAGTCAACTACGTATATGGATACTGATTCAATGACGTATAGACACTGATTCAAAAAGTTATTTGGATAATGATTCAATAACGTATATGGATACTGATTCAATACCGTATATAGATACTGATTCCATAACGTATGGATGCTGGTTCAAAAACGTATATTATGGACACTGAATTCCCATGATTCAAATCGTTATTTTGATCATCACTGATCGAATTGGAATTCCGATGCATTTTCGTTTCATCCCCCACCCTTCAAATGTAATCCCGTCCCAATGATAAGGAATATAAGATCCAGAACATTTTTTTAAAGTTTTGGGACCCGTTCATCCCTAATTTTGAAAGGTTAGATTATTCCCGACTTTCGGACGAAATTCAAGACTTTTTCACGACTTTTCCCGACCTTTCAAAATCCCCGACTTTTTCCCGAATTTCCCGGAATTCCCGACTGGTAGACACCCTGGAAAATATTCTCCATAAGAATAACATGGGAATTTCAAAATTACAATTTTCTTTATTTTCTCCGTTACCAATAATCGAACAAAAATACTTTTATATACTAAATTATTTGTTTTTTAAGCTCTTTAAAAAGGTCTAAAGAGAAATTGGGAAATTTTGTGTTTTGAGGGTCAAAAGCAAGAAAAACCAATTTTTACCCCATAAAATGTAAAGCCTTGTTCCCATGGTCCGATCATGCTAGTTCTCGAACTCATTCAAGTTTATCCCGCTTTACACCTTTAAACCAAGTTTCATCAAAATCGGACAAAAATTACTCAAGTTATCGCGTTCACAGACGTATATATATATATATAGCCTCTGGGGACATCAAAATGAAAAAGTAAATCGGTCCCGGGTCTAGGTCTTACTGTGCCACCTATGGTAATAGCTACTTCCCTATAGGGAAATTCGCTAAAACCGACAAGGTTGGAAATATTCAAGAAAATTGTCCATCCTTTTCAGGCAGGATTTAAACTATATGAAGATTCTTTCAAGACGGGATATAGTAATGCTGAAAAAAAAAAAATATATATATTCCATAGAATAATTTATTACACTTCTTGTCTTTATATTTCAAATTTATTCTTTAAAATAAAGTTTGATGTTTTTTATTAAGGTTTTGATAAGATTTAGCTTATGAACTTGAGAATTTTGTAAGCATTTCATACGCTTTCATAATGAAGTCCCGACCTGAATATTAAATCCTGTTCACCACTTGTGGTTTAACTAGACAGTATTAAACTGAACCAATATCTGTTACTATAAAATCCGATAACAAGCAAGACACGAGCAAACCGTCTCCCTAACAATAAGAAGTCCAACAGAGTAATCAGAAGGCAACCATATATGTTATTTAAATATTTATATTTATTTACAGACATAAAACTAATCATATATAAAAATTAAAGCTTAAAGTTTTACCATTGAGTGGTTACAATGTGGTAACAATTGGGAGGAGATCATTCTTTGTAAGTCTAGACTAATTTCATGTTACTTTGCGAACGTACATATGAAGTGTACGCTCGTGCTACTAACATTGCATTGCACTTATTTTGTACAGTATGAGATGGCAGAGCTAAACTTTTATACTAACATACAAAACAGAACAACTTTTAAAAATCAAATTCACCTTCATGTGCTTACTAGTCTTGTTGTTGATTTTTGCAAAGTTTCTGGATAAAAGAAAGCAATGAAAAGACATTGCCATCATATACCAACATCACAATTTACAAATACAACAGGATTAATATGGTGCACTTAAAAAAAATGTCAGAAGTCTGATTTAGTTAGGACTGCTGAACTAGGAAGTTTTTAACGTTTTAACAGTATTTCTTATAGGCAACCTACTATTAGTGTGGGATTGAGGCCCCCTGCACTTTTCCCACTGCAATACTGGTTTGCAAAACACTCACTTCTACTACACACTTTGGGTTGTGGGTGGTATATTAATATGACAGCAACATAAAATATGGATCTAAGAAATAATCAAACAAAATGTAACAAATAGTCACTTAATTCAGTTTTAGAAGAAAAATTGTGAGGGCTTTTCCTTTTTTTTAATTTTTTATCCAAGAGATTCTTTCAAATTCAAACGCAAGAATAGACCACAATCGCATTATGTTTGATACTGAACACTATGATGATTGCCCAACACTTTAGGCAGGTAAATGCCCTTTGTCATTGTGTTTGTATGGCGTGAATAAATTGAATTTAATCGAAACAATATAAGGCCTAAACATATTTTAAAGGGTGAGTAAAAAGAGTTTTTTTCCATCACCCATAAATTATAAGTTTAAAAAAATGTGTGCAGTCCAGACCAATCGGTTACTTTTTTATATGTGAAAAAACAATTTCTTCATAAAAGTTCTCATCAATACAGAGCATTTAAATGACCATACAATGTGTGTGTGTACTCAGAAGACAGATTCAGCTGAGCGTGAGAGGTGGATGGGGTGTGATGGACTTCTAGCCAGACGCTTCTTTGGTAGCTTCTCCAATGTTTTGAGCAGTCTGATGAAATCTGGCCTCTCATTAGGCTGATAAGACCAGCACAGCATCAGGATGTCCTATATACAAATATGTGTCAAAATAAAATCTTCTTTTCATGAACATTTATATTGCACACACAGACAGTTGCAGTGAAGCTGTGATTGAGGAAGTTATCTCAAGTGTTGCTACAGCTAAGGGGGGGGGGGAGTTAAGAGGTAACAGCATACATTTAATCGTGCTAAAACTAATAGGTATGAAGAATCTACATCAGGGCAGAATCTATTATAAGCCTACAGCGATAATGGCAGGGGTTTTGGGAACTGAAAAACAATCCAACTTCTGACTGCACTCTACAGTATACATTTACTTTGGCTAATTCAATTAAAAAAGTAATCTAAACAGGTTTTGATTACAATCTTTCTATATATATAATACGCTAAGCAGATTTTTGTGAACAGAACTCCTCCCTCATTTTTGGACCGATTTTGATGATTAAAGTGTCAAAAGAATGTCCCTGATCTGTAGTTTTGCCAAGTGTTTTTATTTCTTTGAAATCTTTATTAGTTCGGGCTGGATATTCCATCAAAGTTGGGGTTTCTCCCATAAGATTAACATGGGGGAATCTAAATATTTAATTGGAAACTTTGTCTCCACTAATTTAAGAAAATGACTGGGCGTAGAAACTTGGTAGGGATGTCCAAAGAAAGGGCTTGGTCTGTAGATGAGTTATCAAAAGAAAAACGAAGTAAATTCCCTTAGGGCTCCGTCCCAGAAGCCTTTAAAAGATCCCTCCACAGATTTGTTTACATTTTGGCCATGTGGATAATACTTTTTAATGAAACAGCTGTTAATTTTTAAATTGTATTTTAAACAACACACATTTATTGAGAGTTACCGTACTGAATTGTCCAAAGGAAGTATTTGCAATGTTATTTTCTTGAATTCTTAGATAGCCTTTGAATGTTAATAGACTAACGAAAAAAGGGTTGTGGATGTTTACTAGCGCTATTCAGCAACAAAAACAATTAAATTTATCTCTAAAAAATATATTCTTAAAGTGCACTAAGCAGCAGCCTAAAAAATACTATTCAACTTCCTCATATAGCTACAAAATGCTCAAACTCGCATTGTGACATTTATGCTTCGGCTTATATTTCTCCAACAGTTATTCATCTGCAGAAGAAGTTCAGTGTGCTGTTATCGTGTCTAATAACATCCAAACAAAAAAACCTTGCCTAAAATGGTACCTATCTTGACAAATTATTTGCAGTGGCCAATATTACGGACCGTGGCGCAATGGGTTGGTAACATTATTGAAAGTAACACGATATTTTGGCTGTAAGAGGAAATGCCGCATTGCTATTTCATTTGCATTATTTGTTGCCAATGAAGCCACACGACCATATAAACTAGGAGGCCCCTAACCGTCGATTTCAACGAGTTTCACATAGTAAGAATATATAATACTTTACTTCAGTCTACAGTCAACCCTTTATCATATCTAGTAATGGTCCTTACCTTAACATCCCTTGAGGCCTGTAGGTTAGCTAGGGGTTGTTTGACTCCTTTCCCCACCTGCCAAATGATAGTTTCTGGTGGTTGGCCTTTGAATGGCCATTCCCCACATAGTAGTTCATACCAAACAGTCCTGAAAAAATATTCAAATCACTCAAGTCTGCTTAAATAATACTGTGGTACTTTATAATTTAAATTAGCTTATTAAAAGACTAGGGTGCGTTGCTACATAGACAAATGAAATAGAATAAATATAGACCGTCAGCTGTGTTGCGGTTAGCATAAGTTCTGGCGTCCACCACTAGGTTTGCCGTGTAGTTACGGCGCACACCGCTGCAGTGTCTGCTGGTCACATACGGCTCCTGCGCTCCACCCCTGCAGCGGTGTGTGCCGGAACCTTCCTTTGACAGTCTATATTTATTCTATTTGTCTATGGTTGCTATCAAACTAAACAGCCTATAAATCTATCTAATCTACATTACAAATGTATTTTAAACAGCACTAAAGTACAATAATAATAGTCATAGTCATAGTCATAGTCATATAATCTTTATTCAGCAGTACAACATGTTGCACCAGAATGGCGTTATACAATTAAATTATATTGTTAGAACTAACCATAACTTATATAAAAAGGCTAAACAAAAATACAAATCTTATAACTTACAATTTACAACACATTCAACCAAAAAAATTCATCTAGGGAATAAATGGGCTTGGATAACATAAAAGTTTTTAGCTGTTTTTTAAATTTATTTTTGTCTGTTATTTGTAAAATATTATCTGGTAGATGGTTATAAAATTTAATCCCAGCATATGACGGTTTATTTTCAAAGAATTTTAAGTTGTGATTTGAAAAACTGATTTTGTGTCTGTGCCTTGTCCCATAGCTGTGGCATGAACCCAAGGTCTCAAATTTTGGTAAATTATTCTTTACAAACAAGATCAAATCAAAGATATATTGGGCAAAAACAGTAAGAATACCAAGTTTTGAAAATTGTTCTTTAATTGAGGTTCTCCAATCTTGAATGTTTAACATGATACGAAGTGCTTCTTTTTGATATAATAATATTTGTTCCAAATTTTCATGAGAGGTTGCACCATATAAAATTATGCCAAAGGAGATGTGGGAGTGAATAAAAGCAAAGTAAATTATTTTTAATGTTTGGCAATACACTAATATACATGATTTAATAAAAAAGCCCCACATTCTCTATATCCACTAATATTTATACATTCCTTACCCCATTTTAGCGAATTTCCCATACAGTATACTCCCTCCTATCCGGACTCCTCAGGACTGAGGCCAGTCCGGATTACGGATTTTCCGGTTACACCGACGTACCCAAAAACTCGTTAAAACAGACCGTTTACTGTGATATTCGACTTAAATTTCGGATAGCATTGTATTTAGACATGTGATCACTGGTCTCAAATCTTTCCCACGAGAACAGTCGTTTCAGTACCACCCACTTCCTGCCGATCTAGTCCGGTTAAACCAATGTGCTGATAAAAGTTGTCCGGTTAAAGAGAAGTTATTTCCGCCGAGTGTAGTCCGGTTAAAAGGTATCCAGATAAGAGGGAATCTGCTGTATAGGGAATAAGCTATTACCGTAGTACTCATCGTAAGACCTGGGACCGATTAGTTTTGAAGTCCCTAGATGCCAAAAACAACATCCATTCAAATTCATATATATACATAGGTATGTGTCTGTTAGCACGATAACTCGAGCAAAAATGATCCGATTTTGATGAAATTTGGTATAAACGTGTAAACCTACAATTATTCAAACGGGTTTGCAAACCAGCACGATCGGACTATGGGAACGGAGGTTTATGGGGTAAAAATTTGTTTTTCCCATTTTCACCATAAATACTTAAAATTTTGCAATTTCTTTCCAAACCATTTTGTAGAGTTTGAAAAAAAATATATTTACAGGGTTGTCAGCAGAATCTAGAAACAAAAATTCATACATTTTTCCCAGTTTTCCCGGCTAAAAAGCATGAAATTCCCCGTGACTAATATAGGCTACTTATGGCTGTTCCAAGACAAGTTGCTGTCTATAGTTAACCCTAAAAATTTAGATTCATACACCTTCTCTAATTCAGTTTAATTTAGAATGATGGTAGGTGACAGCATATTTTTATTATTTTGATAAGTTTTGAATTCAATGAAATTTGTTTTAGCAGAGTTTAGTACTAAACTATTATTTTGGAAAAACTGATCTAAAAGAGCCAGGTTTGAAAATGATGACAACTCAACCTCCTCAATAGAGTGCCCATTTATTTTAAGATTAGCGTCATCAGCATAAAGACATAAGCTATAATTATTATGTAATTTTGGCATGTCTTTTATGTAGCATGTGAATAACAAAGGTCCTAATTGAGCCTTTGTGATGACGTGAGGACACATGAACACTGGCTTTTGTTCAAAAAGACCATTGCACTCCAATGAAAATCAATCTTCACTATTGTTGCTACCATTGTTTTCTAAAACCATTGTTGCCATTGTTTATATTGTTGTTGCCGTTGTAAATTGAAATTGTTGTTTATTGTGTTATGTGTTTATTGTTGTGATCTCTTGGCTGGGGGCAAAAATGTTCCGAGGTGGAATGATACGTCGATTTGTCCTGTCGGCCGCGCGGATAATTTTTTTCTGCTAGGGGGAATTTTGTACTGAATTTGTTGTGATATACAACAAATATGAGTAGACGCGAAGACCTAGTCAGCTGATTAGACAATCGACGACAATACCCACAATGCACATGCACTACGAGTGGTAGGGATGAACCTCCAGCCGGGGAGCGGTCACTGCCAGGTTTCCTGTCTTATCCAAGGTTGTAGGTGAGCTTTACACCGGATGGTGCAAATCAATTCCATTCGCGGTGTTAGCTGGACAAATTTCTATTTTAATTAAATCGCAAAGCCTATATCCCGCAGGGATATAATTGCCGCGCAAAGTGAAAGTAAAATCAGTTTTGAGAAGGAAAAAGTCGCAAAATTTCTTTACCAGCTGGCACAAACCGCCATTGAAAATTTCACAAACTCTTCGATCTAACAATTCATTCGCGTTTTTTCGTAAAAAAGCTCACCTAATTCCGTAGTTCCTCCCTCCCCCCTTTTTGTTTTTGTGTCGGACGTCCAAAGTGTAAGTAATATATGTTAATTATTGTCTTACTGCCAGTTGTGTTTCCTGTCTTCTCCAAGGTTGTAGGTGAACTTTACACCAGGTCGTGCAAATCAATTCCATTCGCGGTGTTAGCTGGACAAATTTATATTTTCATTAAATTGTAAAGCCTATATCCCGCAGGGATATAATTGCCGCGCGAAGTGAAAGTAAAATCAGTTTTGAGAAGGGAAAGTCGCAAAATTTCTTTACCAGCTAGCACAAACCGCCATTGAAAATTTCACGAACTCGTCGATCAAACAATTCATTCGCGCTTTTTCATAAAAAGCTCACCTAATTCTGTAGTTCCTCCCTCCCCCCTTTTTGTTTTTGTGTCGGACGTCCAAACTGTAAGTAATATATGTTAATTATTGTCTTATTTATAATCTTTTCAGTGCACATAATAAAATAATGCACATGCAATTATTTTTCATGTTGTACTTTGTAATTTCCTGTTACATAAGCACATGTCTCCAGATTTGATATTTTGGTAAATTATTTCTATATCCATTTTTAGCTATTCAATCAGTATTAAATCGTAGATTGTGGTATTATTATACTTTAAGATTTAAATAAGTGAGCAGGGTTTTGTAGAGTATTTTAACGTAACTTACAAAGAATATTATTGTCATATAATTATTTGTAAACTCACTATTTTCACGTTTGTTGCACTATTCGATCAAATATATTTACTAAGAGCCATTGTTGTTTAAATTCGGGAAAATAGTTTTTTTAATTGAAAGTTGAGGTAGACGGCAGGTTTGAAGAGATGCGACAATGTTAAATGAGGTCGTGTGTGTTTTACGATAGATGAACCGCCATAGTACTCTGTAGCTATTAATAATAAATAATCTTTAACCATGTTTTACTGCGTTACAAACAGTTATACTGTGTAACCAAGTTGGACTATGAGACACGATCTTCACTTTACATTCATTGGCCAACGAGAAGGATTAATGAGTACTGGTCATCTCAATATTAAATTAAATTTCACACTCACTATCATTGTAGTATTCAAATTGTAACCGCGTCAAATACTTCTCTTACCAAAGGGTTGTTTCCACATTTTTTGTTAAATGTATCAATGGCCATTGCACTCAAGTTCTGAACAATAACACCAATGTTTTGAAACATTTGTTCAATTCATTACAGTTTAAAGACATTGTAGGAAAAAATTGTATCTTGTTCTGTTGATAAAAGTTTTGTACAATAAACCGAATTGTTATATATTTTCAGAATTGTCAATAACCTTGGTATTTCACTCTTGGTATTATACAATTTCATTCAATAGATTTTGGTAACTATAGTAAGTAAGAAGCCACTACAAAAGATTCACATTGAGGTGCAACACTAAAATTAGTGTGGTAGTGCGCAAAGTAGAGTCAGTGTATATTTAAGATTGTTTTCAGCTCTGGAAAAACTTCAGACAGTATCAGGGACGTCCCCTAAGGATCTCTGGGAATAATTTTATTCTACAGGGCCCACTCAAATTTTTATTAACACCAAGCTTCCATTGCCAACGCTCTGTTGTCTATTTTTTTCACTTTGTTCTTCCAACTCAGGGGCAACCAAGATTTTTAAAGAAACAATCATAAAAGTCATTTGAGAACATTGCAAAGAGAGTAGTATATATTTGAATATATTTATGTTTAAATATATAGGTCAGAGTATTTTCTTCTTTTTCTTTACAATAACACATTGTGGTTTCTTTACTTCCACTTGTTGCTCACCTATTCTTACAACTTTTGAGACTGTCATATCAATATCTGTATGCATAGTAGAGTATTAATTATTATTGTTAGCTCCTCCCCTACTTCCAACTGGGTCTCTTTGAAGATGCGAGGCATACACTTCCTATCAATAATGGCTGTGCCTACTGCATGAATATCTTTGTCAATCAGCTTGGTGTACAAAAGATGCGACGAGTACCAATTATCTAAGTAAACGGTATGGCCAATTCCAAAAAA